CATATGTAATTTGTATCTCACAATCACAACTCCTTGTGATTAACAAATCACCAAGACTTGAATCTACGGATTCTATTATTTAATTTATTAGAATATTAATTCAATTAAATAATAGATATTGCCATATATATATATGCATTGATTATATATATTCAAAGTGTTTATGTCCAAAGTTGATTGGACCTAGGGCATAACACTTACATGAGAGCGGCTTGATAAGTGTTCGTGCGAAACCCACAAGCGTATGAGATTTTTGACAAGTAATAATGTAATAAATTAAGGGTATCGTTCCACATGGAATACTATTCAAATTGAAATTGTATTAATTTATAATCAGATTTGAATGGATGTAAATGAGATTTGGTTTTGATTATCTCCAAATTAATATACTAATTGTGTAAAAACTTCGTTTTTATGAATGAATGGATGAGTGTATTGGGCTTATGAATCTACTTATTTTTATCCTATTTCCAATTCTAAAACTATGTAATTAGTGTTATTCATGTGTTCTTGACAATCAGTAATTAAATTATGTGTAACTATCTCTTTCAAATTAAGTTAAACCTACTCTAAGTACGATTCGATCATATTTCTATTTTGAATTCATATACAAAGTAAAGCATTCAATTACACGATTATTTAAATGATTACACACGTCATACATATTTTTTGTAACATCTTTTACCTACATGTTAATCTTACAAAGTTTTAACTTATTATTTTGAACCTTTCAGTATTAAAGCAAGTAATTAATTAATTAATTGGTGGTCAATAAATTAAATAATGCAAAAGGGCATGCAAGGATAATCAAGAAACACAAGAATAAACTAACTACTAGTCTATGAATTAAAAATAAAGACACTTAGGTTCATCTTCATCCAATATAAAAAAAAAAAAGTTTATCTTAGCACAATTTCTATAAAATTGCAAGAAGAATAATAAAAAGATATCACTGGGAACATATATAAATACAAGAAATCTTGATCTTCAAGTTCAAGCTCAAGCTCAAGCTCAAAATCTTTAAGTTCTCGATGTAATTAGCTTTCAATTATTTGCTGGGTTGATCTTCTCTACCAAAATATGATGAATTTGCCTCTTTCTCTTCATAAATTTTTTGATATGAATTGATCGGAGAAGCTAGACAGAGATTCTTAGATGTTTAACCTTTATTATATATTTGTATGTGGTGGATTTAAGTCAATAAATGCATACAATTTGGGTTCTTAAAAGAATTTATATCACAAAAGGAAAGTTTGTCCCGTCTGTCAAAATTTAATCTACGCCTACTTGTGCCAGTGAAATTAGTCCAGGAGGCCAAAAAGGGAACCTGTGTGCGCGAGGGCATATTACTTTTTTGTAGGTTTTCTTTGTCTTTTATTCTTGTTCAATTGACTCTGTATGATTTTCAATCCTCAATTTTTTAGTCCTAATCAACTATTAGATATTTCTAATTTGGTCCCTGAACTTTGAAAATCATCATTTTTCGTTGATTTTCATTCATTTCTTCCCAATTCACTCACAATCACTAAATTTTACCCAAAATAAAATAAATACGAGATTGAGGTATTATTCGTCAAAACAATTACAAAACATCCTTATTCAATTGCTTAGATAACTGTACAAAATGCACTTAGCAAACATTGCAAACTTGAACATTGTTCGTCATTAAATTAAAACTATATATAACATATCTCAACTATTAAATATGCAACAACTTGATTAGATAACTTGCCCATAGTTTCAGAATTGGAATAATTGTATTAAATATATGAACAGTTTCAAAGTGAGACATCATAAATTCACAAGTTGCTTTAATATTCGACCCTCACAAATATATATTTTCGTCACTAGTTAGATACACCTCCAAACTTATTCTTTTAACTTCTTTTCCAAATTTTGATCCAAGGTTGAACTTAAATGCTAATCCTCACCCTCTTTAATTTGGATAAATCCGACTAATTACAAGCCAATATCTCAAAAAATGGGTATTCTCCTTTATTTTGATTGCTTCAACATCTAAAATTAAACTAGGCTAATAATGGTCAAATGTCTAATTCTTTCAAATATGTGGTTGGAGTTTTAATACTGTGTAATGCATCTTCTTTTCATGCACAAGCTTTTTCATATTTCATGTATATATTCTATTTCATGCACTAGCTTTATCGGTTTTTAAGTTTTCTTTTTGAGATTTTTAATAAGTGTCCTCGTTGTGATCTTTTATAGGGTAGTTTCACTTATGAATCAGGGCAATTTTTTTCCTTTTTATGCAATGATTAGTGCAATGTAAATACTTATTCTTAAAAGACCGACTTCTAACTTAATATTTTTACCTTATTTTCATCTCATTGACCTTTGATAATTCCCACAAGAATTTACACATGGGGAATCTCATACATCCCAATCTCTCTCTAGAACAATTCAATCACTCCAAAACTTTATTAAATTTGGTTTAAAGATGTATAATGTTATAGTGTTCAAGTTTAGCATCTAAATTCCACTATTTCAACCTATCAAACATATGAATCCTTTACAATGTAAAACTTAATCGATATGCATAAAAGGGTATACAATTTTATATGAATAAGCAAAAATTAATCTAAGGACGAAACTTATCTC